GGAGTGCTCCCTCAGCAAGTTTGCCGACGATACCAAACTGGCTGGAGTAGCTGATAGCCCTGAGGGCTGTGCTGCCATCCAGAGGGACCTGGACAGACTGAAGGACTGGGCGGCGAGAAACCTCATGAGGTTCAACAGGGGCAAGTGCAGGGTCCTGCACTTGGGGAGGAATAACCCTGGACACCAGTACAGATTAGGGGTGGACCTGCTGGAGAGCAGTCCCGCAGAGAGGGACCTGGGTGTCATGGTGGATGACAAGTTGACCATGAGGCAGCAGTGTGCCCTGGTGGCCAAGAAGGCCAACGGGATCCTGGGGTGCTTTAAGAAGACCGTCTCCAGGAGGTGAAGGGAGGTGATCGTCCCCCTATACACAGCCCTGGTAAGGCCACATCTGGAGACTGTGTCCAATTCTGGGCTCCCCAGTACAAGAGGGATGTGGAGCTGCTGGAGAGAGCCCAGTGTAGGGCTACGAGGATGATCGGGGGCCTGGAACATCTGCCCTATGAGCAAAGGCTGAGGGAGCTGGGTCTGTTCAGCCTGGAGAAGAGGAGGCTGAGGGGGTACCTGATCACTGTCTATAAATACCTCAAGGGAGGCAGTGAGGAGGAGGGGACCGGCCTCTTTTCAGTGGTGACCAGCGATAGGACTAGAGGAAATGGCCACAAGCTGAGGCACCAAAAGTTCCACAGGAACTTGAGAAAACACTTTTTGACATTGAGGGTGACAAAGCACTGGAACAGGCTGCCCAGAGAGGTGGTAGAGTCTCCTTCTTTGGAGATTTTTAAAACCCGCTTGGACGCAGCCCTGTGCCACATGCTCGAGGTGACCCTGCATGAGCAGGGGGTTTGGACTAGATGACCTCTGAGGTCCCTTCCAACCTTAAGCATTCTGTGATTCTAATGAGGGCTGCTGTGGGGGGAGAGAGACCAGCACTGCCCTGTGTGCCCCCATCCTGCTGCTTCTCTCACCGAAACCGTTTCCTCCCGGGGGGGAGCAGGGCACGACGGTCATCACCAACTTGTCCTCCGTGCTGAAGGACGAGAGCGCCTGGGAGAAGCCGCACGAGTTTTACCCCGAGCACTTCCTGGACGAGGCCGGGCACTTTGTGAAGCGAGAAGCCTTCATGCCTTTCTCAGCAGGTAACTCCAAGGGGACGATGTGATATGGCCGCCCATGAGGAAGGCGCGTGCACAGCAGGAGGGATTACCTACCCCCGGCAGGAAAAGCGGGAAGCCTTTTCCAGAAACCAGCTCCGGAGAACCTTGGAACGGCCCGGAGGGGCTGTGCCCCTCCACCTTTCACAACTCTCTGGCCGGGGCCCTGTGCAACTCGTACAGGTTTTGAAGCTACATCTAACTTTGAGCCTGGCCCTACGTTGAGCAGAGAGCAAGACTAAATGACGCGCAGTGAGGGGCTCTTCCCCCCTGTCGTGTTCTGCAGTGCGATGCAAACACAGCGGCTCTGTCCCTGTCCAGCCAGCTGGGAGCATCCGCCCCCTCTGCATGTGGCATTTACCTTCCCCTTCCCGCTGATCCTCTGCTTTCCTCCACACAGGGGCTGCTCCTCCCACCCAGATCCTCAGTGGTTCAATGGCCTCTTTCACAGACCATTTCTGTTCCCTTTCTTGCAGGGCGGCGTGTCTGTCTGGGGGAACAGCTGGCCAGGATGGAGCTCTTCATTTTCTTCACCACTCTCCTGCAGAAATTCACCTTTGTACTGCCAGAGAATCAGCCCAAGCCACGAGAAGACTATTACTTTGCGCTCATATCCTTCCCCTACCCTTATCAAATTCGAGCTCTCCCAAGATAAGTGTAAAGTGCTCTCCTTACACCCAGAGAGCTGCAGTTGGGCTGGACTTTGTCCCAGCTCATGACAGACTATCACTGCTGAAACACACTGGAAAGCATCCATTAAAAAATGACTATCGTTTCAGCCACAGAAGCAGGGAATGTGTGAAACAATATTGCATTTTCTACTAATGTTTTTAAAGAGAAACCCTGCTGTTTACATTTATCACTTCCTATGTAATTAGTTCCTGAAACCTCTTCATTCACAAAATAATCAAAAAGAATAAAAGTGATCTGAAAAGTCTTTCTCTTCCTAACCTTGTGATTGTCTCGTA